TCATCGCTATTTACCGAAATAGTATTAACACCAAAGTAGATGCAAGAATACAACTAACAGTATAGTAATAATTGACTATTTTTAGCATGTTAAAACCTCGCCATGAAAATAGACTGCAGAAAATTGTATATCTTGTGGGTGAACAAGAATATTAACAACCATAGGTGTGTCCCTAAATCCCACCCCCACCCCACTGCAAAATTAAGAAAAAGGATCCTGAAAGTTCTCGTTTTCTTTATGTGTAAAGGGTGGACTGACTGGGTTGTCCGGATAACATCTTATGGTGCCTATTATTTGCAAATCAAATCCTTAACAAGGCCAGGTTAAAGTTACAATAATGTATATGAGCTTTTATCATCAATGACCCTTAAACATGCAAGACCCTAAAATGACAATTTGAGACAGAGTCAATCTTCAAAAGTTCATGTTGACAAGATTTCAAAAACAAATTGAAACCATTTGTGTGTGAGTTGGTGCGAGAGATAAAAGGGCATCTAAGATTATCTAATATGCAAGACCAAGTGTACAATAATTCAAAGTAATGAATTCTATTGATCTGCAAAACTTTGAAGGAGTAGCAGCAAGTCAAAACTAATCACACCTTCTACCCCATGTATCCATAACCCATAGCCTCCAATACAACAGTTGGTACCAGTAGAGATGTTACACTATCTATATCGATGCAAAATTGAGATTACAGAAACAGAAATAAGAAATTCGACCAAAAAGCATCAGAAAATTGCCTAAAAGATGATCTATCAAKAAAGAGAAGAATTTGTCCACCTGTCAATGGACTGCTRTGACCTCTGATAGGYTCTTGCTGGATATAAAAAAGTTCTCCAACCATTACCTTCTAATGCRTGACAACATCATAGCATAAAATCTAATTCAAATGGCAGGATAAAATGCAGACAAAACCTCGGAGTACAAGTTTATAAGCAAACATGATACCATCTAGAAGCACAATCTGTTTAAAACATGACTAGTTTTGACAACAAACGATTGAAATGCTATTCTCCTTAACTAAAGAGCTTTTGATCATTTTGAAGCCAGATTTATAACCCAATTGAACTTACAGTAATTTTCCAGTTTCATTGTAGGTGGTTGAAACATAAGTAAAGTTTCTAAATGCTTCATCCTTCTTCCTACCACTGAAAGTTCTCCTAATAATTTTTTTACACTGAAATCTAATCTGAAAGTTCTGATTACTCTTAGCCTACGATTACACAGTTAAACTACATTGCATACTGTTTTCAATTAGTTATGATGATTGCACAGAAGTCCCTGAAAATGTCTACTCAATATTTACAGTTCTGGCAAAGAGAGGCTGCAATGTTGAAGCAACAACAGCAGAACCTGCAAGAGAACCACAAGTAAATCTTATATTTAATAAGAAATATATGTGTGTATGCTGTTGACATGGCTCAAAAAAGTGCAAAGTATTTAAAATAGTGATACAGACTATATTATTATCCAAAAAAGGGAACCTTTTTGAATTTCTATATGGGCAAATGTGATGTGATACATTCATACTATGACATTCAGCTTCATACAGCTTTAGATTACTACCATCTATAATAGATGTTTTTTTATAATAGTATAGCAAACTTAGTCAACCAGAGGATATGATCTTTCTAGATGCAAAGTAATAACCAAAAACATAACGAGCATGCCTATTATTTACGAGGTTATATTATAGTAATAAGTATAAACAAACTGCTATCACTACAACCAATAAAGCAGATAGGATTAGGATTGAGATTGGGAAGGGGATGGTTCTGTAAGTGAAATTTTCAATTCCAATCGGATGCTACAGACACGTTAAACCTAAATATGCTCACCTTATGAAATGCATTYGACCTAACAACAAATACATGAAATGACTAACCGAATGGATAATCAGACCATGAAGAAGCAGGTTATGCCAGAAAGACAGAACCAGATTAGGGCAGAATACATACCTGCTTTATGTCTATAAACGAAACCAAATTGATGATGAGACACGATGACGGGACCTCGGCTGAGAAATCGACGGAGGCGATGGAGAAATAGGTAGAGAATTTGATGATGGCGACGGCGAAATCGRTAGAGGAACGACGAAGGCGACGGGGAGAGAAAGAGAGATAGAGTCGAGAGATGGGAGCGATGGGTTCTAAAAAAAATTGTATTTTTCTAATGAAATTGATAAATAATTAAAACAAAGACTTTAGGGAAGGTTTTTATTTTAAAAAACGTCCCTAAAGCCCCTCCTCATATTTTTTAGAAGCTTTTATTAAAAAAACTCTCTGAAGCTTTTAGAGACAATTTTGGTAATGTATGATTTAGCTTGAAATATTTCTCTAAAACTCATCCTACCTTCAGTTATGTTTTCCACTTTTGTCATTTATTTTCTTCTCTATAATATRTCTTTAGATACACATCTAAAATCTTCTCTAAAAATTCCTTCTCTAAAGCTCTTTTTCCTTGTAGTGCACGGATGAAAACATAATGGATGACTATATGTACAAATAAAGACTAAAAACCATTATCATAGCTTGATTGTTGAAAGCTATTACAAATTTCAATATAAATATATAAATATTATACAACATTGACAACAAAAGCAATTGGTTATAATTGCATTATAAGTCTTATGATGCCATATCTTCTATTTGGCTAAGAATGTACAATAATAATGCACACTTAAATAAACACCCATGCATCTCAGCTTCTTCACACATTTCTAAGGGTGGTGCCAAGGGCTTTGCATTATTTAAGCTTGTGTGTATATATGCTCACATTTCTAATAGATAATACTTTTGAGTAAAGTTAATTTTGATATATAAACATATTTTATCCCATCAATCATTTCCCATGTGGTTAGTGGTTAAGGGGTAGGCTGATTGTGAAAGAAGTGAAATCACTTGGAAGAGCTCATGGTTTCATGGAGTTAGTTCCTAATTTTAGAATGAGTTTAACGTTTATGTAATTAATCTAAGCAAATATGAGCATCACAAATTTGTCATAGAAACAAATATGGTAAGGAAAATGAAACAAATTATATATCAAACGAAGAAGTGCTTAGTTACTCATAAAAATTTAGGACGAGAGAAATTAGTGGAGAAGGATGTATTGGTGAGTGACTGTATATACTATATATAGATGTATGTGTGTGTGCGTATATATACATGTGTGTTTATACATGTGTATGCATGTAAATATAATATAGCAAAAGATTTATTAGAAAGTACATCATTATTACGATGACTACAATAATATCATGAGCATGAAATATATTCCAAATCCCCAGTAACTGTTTTTGGCAAGACTAATGGCATCGATTCTTGGTCCTATAACAGAAACTGACATCCACAAGCTTCAAGAGGCACCAAGAAGCAGTCCATCTTTTTTTACAAAATTGAAAAACTATTAGTTAATCTAGAATATCAAATATCTGAGGTTAATAATACTTGCGTTAGTTTATAATTGAGTCACACGTTGCAGGGTATTGGAAGGCGTTTAATATTTGGAAAAAGGAGCAGCAGAGACTAGATGTTGAGACAGAAGAAAGGAAAAAGAAAATACGGAAATTTAAGGAATCAACATGGAAATGTGTCTATTATCTTTCAGTAGAAATCCTAGTGTTGGTTGTGACTCATGATGAGCCCTGGTTCACTAATACTATGAACTTTTGGACAGGTCTTGGCAGCCAGCAATGGCCTGACCAGAAAGCAAAGTAAGATATCATGTAACTGTATGTGTTAAGAGTCCCAAGGAAGAAAAGATAATCCTAAGGAAAAGTTGTGTCTAATTCAGCTGTGACTTGGCAACATGAAGTTGTGTCTAATTCAGCTATGTCTAATTCAGCTGTGTCTAATTCAGATAAAAAAGATAATCCCAAGGAAAAGCTAAGTGATTCATCTCAATTGGTTGTTGGTACAGATGGTGATAAAGACGGTATGGATGCAAAATTCAGCTTTTCAGACCTTATCATCTGTTCCAATTGAACAACAGCTTCTCAGACCTTATCATGGAAGGAGAAGAAACCAAAGAAGAAGAAAAAAAGAAATCTGCCTCTTGTAGAAACCTCGGCTGATTTAGGGAAATCACAAGTTTCATTTGGTAACAAGCAGAACGGTGAACAAGATGATTCAATCTCAGAAATTTCTTACAAAAAATGAAATGTAATTTTGGAGCAAACCTGATTAGACGAGTGACAGGGGCGGCAACGAGCGGAGGTGGTGCGGCGGTGATGGGGGCGGTCCGGCGACGAGGGGTGGTGCGGCGGCGATGGGGGCGAGGGAGACGACGGTGTGCGAGAGGGAGAATGAGACGGGAGGGGAGGGAGCGGTGGACGAGAGGGAGATGAGTAGTCTTTTAGGATTTTTTAAGTTTTTTTTTTTTAATTTAAGGTTACATGTTACAATTTTAAGGAATGAGAACTTATTTAATAGGTTTTGTAAAGTCCAATGACTTATTTAACAGATTCTAGAATGTCAAATTATTTATTTGTTCCAAAAAATTGTCCGAAGACTTAATCGTTCCAAACAGTAAAGTCCTATAACTTAATTAAAAAAAACCTAAGTCCTATAACTTAATACATGACTTAATTGAACATTTTTTGTATCTTACAGAAGTGATGTTTTTACGGTATTATAAAGTTGTAAACCTTAAAGTATAGTTCAACGAGATTTAAAGTTTAAACCATTCAATTTGTTTACCATAATTTATTTTTAGCTAAAACCTTTTAATTTAATTTGCTTAATTTTATCCGTTATTGATGAAAAATAATTTAAATTGATTTATAATTACATAAATAAATTGAAATTACAGTTCTAAATATTCTAGAAATGTAACAAGATGAAAATCGAATTGTTTGACTATGAAATTACATTACAAAATTAAAGGAAAGTACATGGATATATAAATGGATAGCTTGTTCCAAGGCTTCCCCATTTTCATTGTACTCCAAGTACCACTTAACCCTATTTTCTGAAGGGAGGGAGAGAGAGAGAGAGAGAGAGAGAGAGAGAGAGAGAGAGAGAGAGAGAGATATATAGATGGATATTATGAGAGTGGAGGCATTTCTAAGGGTGTGTGCAACCTTGCTCTTTATCACTACTGCTTGCTTGGTTAGATTGGACACCCAGACCAGTCTTATTTTCACCTCATTCTCCAGAACTGCCACTTTCAGGGACATGAATGCTCTCTTGTAAGCACAATCTCTCTCTCTCTCTCTCTCTCTCTCTCTTAAATATTGGGTTAATATCATATCATGTGTTTTAGATTCACTCAAACATACACTCTGAGTTCAAATTTCACACTCGAGTCTCGTCCAGTAAATCACTAGGATACATCAATGGCCGGTGTGGTTTCAAAGGTCTTTCGAAGTTAATTCATATGTAGAATGCGTGCAGCCAATAAAATAACACTCTGGCAAAACTTTATCCCCTATATATATGGATGACGGTTCAAACAAGAAAACAACTATATCACATGTGATTTTACATTGAAATCACATGTGACTATGGACGACCTAAGTCATGGCCAAGTCGTCCACGCACTCTTACTTTTTTGCTTTGACTTTTTCCGTAATCAAATGTGATTTTACACTGATATTACATGTGATATAGGTGTTCTCTTTTTTTCTTATGATGACGTGTTCTCATTTGAATCCAATAGATATAGATATATAGATACATATATAGTAAGTTTACATATTAATGATGCAATTAATGTTTCTGGATGAATCAGTGTGTTGGTGTTCATAGACATAGCAGCTGCAGGATATAATCTGATTCAGTTGGTAATCAGAGGTCTACTCTCTTCACATTTGAAACCAGATATGACGACTTCATACAAGCATCTTGCTTGGCTCTCTTTCTTATTCGATCAGGTATATATATTTTCCATATTCAATTAATTGTCATTGTTTTAAAGTAAATTCGTACGTCCCTTTCAGATGTGGTTTCATTGGTGTTCAATACAAGAAACTAATGAAAACTAGATGATCCTAATACATCTTTAATTACTAACTAAAAAACCATATCTATTATATATACTTGCGATTTTAGTGAAACATAATGGTTCATTTGTTTAATCCATCCCATATCACATCAACATCTAACATACGGGTTTAATTTCAACGATAAATTTCGATGGGACCGTGAAATTAATAAAGACGAGAAATGGACAAGGGAACAAACAAAACGATGGAACTCAACACTCTAAGAAATCATCAACACTTTGTATGGTTCGAAATCCGAACCATTATTCTTTAGGGGTCCATTCGTACATGGGCTAGACTGGACAGGATGGGGGCGAGTGAGATAGACGGGTGAACAAATTGTGAAAGGCTTTTAATGTTTTAATTTGATATAGGTAGTTTAGATACCAAACTTGTCTCATCTCCTATATTTTTGTTCCATATATTTTGGTGGGACAAAAAAATGCATTTCTAATTATCTCAGTTCATGTCTGTGTCATGTTCCAGTGCAATATCACGTCAAACATGGATCAACTTAACAAATTTTTAACTATTATGTCTCGTCCTATCATCTTCTGTCATGTATACCAAAAGCACTCGATATCATACTAAAAGTTTATATATGTGGTTTCAACCACAGGTAGTCGCGTACATGGTATTTGCAGCAACCTCAGCTGCCCTAACAGCCTCATTATTAGCACTCACCGGTGAACATGATCTTTTCTGGATGAAATTATGCAACAAGTTTAACCGATTTTGCACTCAAATTGGCGGGGCAATGTTATGCGGCTACACAGCATTTATCTTCATGGTTATGGTTTCGTCCCTTTCGGCTTTTGGTCTTTTTAGACACTATTCACCCAGAAGTTTCCTTGATCTAAAGTAAAAAAAAAAACAATATATATATATATATATATATATATGTGTGTGTTATTTTTCTTATCTTAGAGGGCATTCTATATAGGTCAAAGAAAGTACCTTTGGTTGGTGTTACATGTGATTCACGGGTAGGTTGTGGTCATTTTCTATAATCAATACTAGAGTTTGTCGTTTGGAAGAGTATTTAAAGCATGGTGTCATGCACTTAATGACGAAGAATTAATGGGTGGTGGCCGTAGAATTAACTAGAAATTCGTTTAAAAAAAGTATATGATTATCAAACACCGGTGAATTATTATTTATTTACAATTGAGAAAAATTAATTTAAAGTTGTGGCAACTATGATTGTGGTTGTCCTAGTGGTTAGTCATATTGGATCTTGATTGGACTTGTGTTTTAACTAAATCACATGTTAGGTCTTAAAGTATTTGGACAACAATTGATAACGGTTTTAAGTAAAAGAATTCATGTAATTGGTTGCGATAAAGCACTTCCCTATATTGTTGCCAATCAATTACAAGCCAAGTTGCTATTGTGCAAGTTATTACATTGGTATAAAAGACAACGTTTCGGTAGAGTACCTGGGAAGTGGGATTCACGTTGTCGGCATCATATCAATAAGGATATATATATATATATATATATATATATATATATATATATATATATATATATATAGGGGCAGGTTCAAATGAAAACCGTTCAATTCTAAAAAACCATGTAAACCAAATTCGACCAATCAGAAAATTCCATATTTTTTCAATTAAATTTAATGAATAAGGGTATTTATGTCATTTTAAACATTTATTTTATAATTAAGGAAGTTATTAATACATATTATTTAAGGAAATTTAATAAAAGAAATATTGAAAAAAGTAACGTTTCAACATTTAAGTATATTATATTATTAAAATCTTGATTTTAATGATTTGGTATTCAATGAATCATGAAACAATTTATGAAGATTTCAGCAAATATATGAATGAAATCGTAGGTTGCTGCTGGTTAGGAAAAAAAACAAATGTTCATGAAACTCTATAAACATGAAGAGGTTTCATATGTCAATGACTTATTTGCTTCTTCAAAGCATATGGTATAAATCAATGAACAGTGTCATGATGGAGAAAAATTTTATATTCTAATTGATGCATGATTCGTGAAATATTTTCATGGTGTTCCGTATTGCTTTGTGATTCAAGTTGATTCGTTTAATTGGTATAATGAAATGGGTTCATTAAAACGAAACAGTTTCATTTTCGTAAAACATTTTTTCATTATTTAATTGATTCGAGATTAAAGAACTAGTTTCATGGTTGGACAGTTTCATTTTATTGAACATGAAATTAATGTTCATGTAACTCTTTCGATGTGAAAAGGTTTCATTACGAAATAGTTAATCAAATAGGTTGATGTTGGTGAAACATTTTCATTTTATAATTGGCTCGAGGTTGAAGAACTAGTTTCATGATGAAACAGTTTTATTTTATTTTATATGAAATTAAGGTTCATGTAAATGTTTCAATATGAAAAGGTTTCATTATATAATAGTTATTTAAATAGGTTCATGTTCGTAAAAACATTTTTCATTTTATAATTGATTCGAGATTAAATAACTAGTTTCATGGTGAAACAATTTCATTATATTGAACATGAAATTAATGTTCATGTAACTCTTTCGATGTGCAAAGGTTTCATTACGAAATAKTTAATCAAATAGGTTGATGTTGGTGAAACATTTTCATTTTATAATTGACTCGAGATTGAATAACTAGTTTCATGATGAAACAGTTTTATTTCATTTTATATGAAATTAAGGTTCATGTAAATGTTCAATGTGAAAAGGTTTCATTATGAACTAGTTAATCAAAATTGTTGATGTTAGTGAAACAGTTTCATCTTTAAAATCAGACGTCCATCTTAAGTCTTCATCTTCTCCTATAGACCTTCCAAGCTTTCATCAATGGCGGTCCTCATCCTCATCAACCTCATCTTCTCCACCATAACCATGCTATCAAACCTTCTATCTCTTTTAATCTTCAACACCACCGCATACCTCCTCGTTATCGCAATCCAAGGACTCCGAGTCCCTAGAGAAGCTCTGTAATCCACAATGGAGCAAATCGCAGATCTGATCAGAACTTGTATTAGGTACGTTTTGGAGGTGGTTATGGAGGTGATCAGTGGGATTGTTGGTCTGGTTTTTGATCTTGTGAAAGAGGGTGTTTTTGGGTCGGTTTCAGCCACCGGAGCAGCGGCGGTAGGGGTGGTGGAGAAGATGAAGTCGTGGTTTGATGGGTTGACGGAGGAGATACCGGCGGTGGTGGAGGGTGTGGTGGAGATGGTGACGACGGTGGTGTCGGATTTGTGGAGTAATTATATGCACGCTCAGAATTATGTTGTGGAAAATGCTTGAATTTTGGTAAGAAATTGAGGGGTTACAAATGTATACCGATTCTACCCTTGTTGATTAAATAAAATGAATATTAATTATTTTTTAATTTTTAATTTCCTAAAATAAAATAATATAATATAGGCCATTGATCAAGAAAATGGACGGATGAGATTGGTTTACACGGTTTACACAAATGGGTCA